TCCGGAGCCACTCCACCGTCAACGGAAGGACGACACTCGTCGAAGTCGCCAACTTCAGCCCACGCAGAAGAACGCCGGGAACGCTTAGGCTCGGGCCGCACATCATCAGACCCGGAGGCAGACTCGGCGACCCGCGCAGCACCTGCCGAGCGAACCGACGCACGCCACAGTACGGCAGCCTCCTCAACCACACGGGGCACCAGGCCAGGCACAGGAGGGAATGCCGGATCCACCCCAACTCCCAGCACAGCCGGGACAGACGGCGAGGGTGCAGGGACCGGGACAGACACAGCAGAGGAAGAACTGGAAGACGAGGGGTCCGAGCAAACGGCAGGCGGAAGAGGCTCAGGGACACCAGCTGGAGCACTAGGCGAGGACACAACCTCCGGAGGAGGTGCGGCAACAACAGGGGGCGCAACAGCTGAGACAGAGGGCACCTCCTCAGCCGAAGAGACGTCCCTCTACCCCCTGTCGTCCGGGCTCAGTCTGTGGGACTAGAGTTCTCTGTGCGGGCTGGTTACCCGGAGATTGCCCTGGCTTGTGAAATGCTCTCTGTCCCTGTGTTTGCGATTTATGGGGTCGAGTTGGTAACGGCCCGTAGGGCAATTGTGAAGTTCACGGAGGTGGCATATCGCGATTTTCTCCGGCGATACGAGGGGCGGACTCTACCCCTGCCGGATGGTGCGGGCACTGTAACCCTCTCTGATAGGAGTGGTGCACTTACTTACATCAGTGTGCATGGGGCTCCCTTGGAGTTTCCAGAGGCTCTGCTACGGCGGTATTTCGGCCGGTTTGGCGCAGTTGTTAGTGTGAGGGTGAACGTGGTGTCTTCTAGTCCTCTTAAGGGTGTGAGGTCTAACATTCGCACCCTGGGCATGAGACTCCGGGCGGATATTCCGTCCTCTGTGCGCCTTATAGGGTACAACGTTCGGGTGTTTTACGCCCGTCAGCCGCGGACGTGTTATCGTTGTGGTCTTTTGGGCCATCAGGCTGCTGACTGTTCTGCGCCTCCTGTTGCACCAGTGAATCTCTTCAATGAGGAAGATTTTCCGCCCCTTCCTGTGGGGGATGATTCGGTGGGTGTGGACCCCTCATCGTAACGCCACGTCAGCACAGGCGAGCAGAGACACAACCGCCCCCAACCAGCCGAAACTGGCAAACACCACCAACTGCTGAAGCGACGATGCAACACGTCTGTCCCCTACCGAAGCTAGGGCCAGCAAAGCAGAGAAATTGATATAGTGATGACCAGATTAAGGCTGGGACACACCAAACTAGCAGCACACAGCTCTAAGTACAGAACAGACATGAACGAACTCTGCATCCACTGTCAGGTGCCTAAAACAATCAACACTATCTCCTTCACTGCTTCCGACATTATAGTGCCAGAGTAAATCTCAAACAAGTACTTATTTCACTTAAAATACCCTTTACCATCGAGCATATATTAGGAGGCGGTGACCACTCGTCACAAGAAAAATACCAAATAGTCAAAGCCCTGGCTAAATATCTGCAGTCGACCAACACATTGGGTCACATCTGACCCGCGCCACATATATACCTGGCGCCACCAACAGCTAAACACAGAACACAACTGCCTCGTCGCAGCACCAAGGATCAGCTGACGCCATAAACACAACACACCGCCCTACGGTGCGGCAAGTCTCCCTACAACACACACCTCTGTTGTAGTCGCCGCTCCTCTGTCTACACCACAACGCAACAAGCACCTTTGGAACTCTTTATCATCCTCAACATAAACGCCTCTATCAACATGTGTACTGGTGCAGTCATCGGGAGGACAAACCCTTCATGCAAACTGCACCTACTATCAAGAAGAAGAAAGAAAACAGGCAGTTAGGGTGGTGATGGAGACTACTGTAAATGTAAATACTGTATGCCGGTGTTATACAATACACATGGACTAAGATAATGTTTACTTTATCCTACATTTCCCTGCCAGTACGGAGGTCATGAATAGTGGTGCATGTGTGTTAATGATAAAGTACACACGATACATATAGGAGTGAGGCAATATATGTGGGTTGTGTCCTGGGTGATGCGAGTACAGCTGTGGTGGCCCAGAGTGGCCCTCGACGAGCTTAGCCACGACCTTCATGTCCCCGACAATAGGAATGATTATACAAGATACTGGATATATGTTTAAGTACACGTGCATGTGAATGAATCACAGAAATAGATACAATAATAATACCCACAATAATACCCAGGTGTCTGTAAAATATAATATACAATATATTTTCAGTGTCAGTAGTAGACAAATGCATTAGGCAGTGATGTGGTGGAGGCTGACTCCATACACAGTTTCAAGTGTAGATATGATAGAGTCCAATAGGCTCAGGAACCTGTACACCTGTTGATTGACGGTTGAGAGGCGGGACCACAGAGGCGGGACTAATACCACAGAGCCGAAGCTCAACCCCCGCAAGCACAATTAGGTGAGTACAGGTAATGATGCCCCGCCCAGGGTAGTGATGCCCCACCCAGGGTAGTGATGCCCCCCACAAGGTAGTGATGCCCCGCCCAGGGTAGTGATGCCCTCCCCAGGGTAGTGATGCCCTCCCCAGGGTAGTGATGCCCTCCCCAGGGTAGTGATGCCCTCCCCAGGGTAGTGATGCCCTGCCCTGGGTAGTGATGCCCCACCCAGGGTAGTGATGCCCCACCCAGGGTAGTGATGCCCCACCCAGGGTAGTGATGCCCCACCCAGGGTAGTGATGCCCCACCCAGGGTAGTGATGCCCCACCCAGGGTAGTGATGCCCCACCCAGGGTAGTGATGCCCCACCCAGGGTAGTGATGCCCCCCCAGGGTAGTGATGCCCCACCCAGGGTAGTGATGCCCCACCCAGGGTAGTGATGCCCTCCCCACATGGTAGTGATGCCCCACCCAGGGTAGTGATGCCCCCCCAGGGTAGTGATGCCCCCCAGGGTAGTGATGCCCTCCCCACATGGTAGTGATGCCCTCCCCACATGGTAGTGATGCCCTCCCCACATGGTAGTGATGCCCCCCCAAGGGTAGTGATGCCCCCCCAAGGGTAGTGATGCCCCCCCAAGGGTAGTGATGCCCCCCCAGGGTAGTGATGCCCCCCCATGGGTAGTGATGCCCCCCCCAAGGGTAGTGATGCCCCCCCAAGGGTAGTGATGCCCCCCCAAGGGTAGTGATGCCCCCCCAAGGGTAGTGATGCCCCCCCAAGGGTAGTGATGCCCCCCAAGGGTAGTGATGCCCCCCAAGGGTAGTGATGCCCCCCCAAGGGTAGTGATGCCCCCCAAGGGTAGTGATGCCCCCCCAGGGTATTGATGCCCCCCCAGGGTATTGATGCCCCCCAGGGTAGTGATGCCCCCCCAGGGTAGTGATGCCCCCCCCAGGGTAGTGATGCACCCCCCCAGGGTAGTGATGCACCCCCCCAGGGTAGTGATGCACCCCCCCAGGGTAGTGATGCACCCCCCCAGGGTAGTGATGCACCCCCCCAGGGTAGTGATGCACCCCCCCAGGGTAGTGATGCACCCCCCCAGGGTAGTGATGCACCCCCCCAGGGTAGTGATGCACCCCCCAGGGTAGTGATGCACCCCCCCAGGGTAGTGATGCACCCCCCCAGGGTAGTGATGCACCCCCCCAGGGTAGTGATGCACCCCCCCAGGGTAGTGATGCACCCCCCCAGGGTAGTGATGCCCCCCCCAGGGTAGTGATGCACCCCCCCAGGGTAGTGATGTGCCCCCCCAGGGTAGTGATGCCCCCCCAGGGTAGTGATGCCCCCCCAAGGGTAGTGATGCCCCCCCAAGGGTAGTGATGCCCCCCCAAGGGTAGTGATGCCCCCCAGGGTAGTGATGCCCCCCCAGGGTAGTGATGCCCCCCCAGGGTAGTGATGCCCCCCCAGGGTAGTGATGCCCCCCCAGGGTAGTGATGCCCCCCCAGGGTAGTGATGCCCCCCCAGGGTAGTGATGCCTCCCCAGGGTAGTGATGCCCCCCCAGGGTAGTGATGCCCCCCCCAGGGTAGTGATGCCCCCCCAGGGTAGTGATGCCTCCCCAGGGTAGTGATGCCCCCCCAGGGTAGTGATGCCCCCCCAGGGTAGTGATGCCTCCCCAGGGTAGTGATGCCTCCCCAGGGTAGTGATGCCCCCCCAGGGTAGTGATGCCCCCCCCAGGGTAGTGATGCCCCCCCAGGGTAGTGATGCCTCCCCAGGGTAGTGATGCCCCCCCAGGGTAGTGATGCCCCCCCAGGGTAGTGATGCCTCCCCAGGGTAGTGATGCCCCCCCAGGGTAGTGATGCCCCCCCAGGGTAGTGATGCCCCCCCAGGGTAGTGATGCCCCCCCAAGGGTAGTGATGCCCCCCCAGGGTAGTGATGCCCCCCCAGGGTAGTGATGCCCCCCAGGGTAGTGATGCCCCCCCAGGGTAGTGATGCCTCCCCAGGGTAGTGATGCCTCCCCAGGGTAGTGATGCCCCCCCAGGGTAGTGATGCCCCCCCAGGGTAGTGATGCCTCCCCAGGGTAGTGATGCCCCCCCAGGGTAGTGATGCCCCCCCAGGGTAGTGATGCCCCCCCAGGGTAGTGATGCCTCCCCAGGGTAGTGATGCCCCCCCAGGGTAGTGATGCCCCCCCAGGGTAGTGATGCCCCCCCAGGGTAGTGATGCCCCCCCAGGGTAGTGATGCCTCCCCAGGGTAGTGATGCCTCCCCAGGGTAGTGATGCCCCCCCAGGGTAGTGATGCCCCCCCAGGGTAGTGATGCCTCCCCAGGGTAGTGATGCCCCCCCAGGGTAGTGATGCCCCCCCAGGGTAGTGATGCCTCCCCAGGGTAGTGATGCCCCCCCAGGGTAGTGATGCCCCCCCAGGGTAGTGATGCCCCCCCAGGGTAGTGATGCCCCCCCAGGGTAGTGATGCCCCCCCAGGGTAGTTATGCCCCCCCAGGGTAGTGATGCCCAAGGTAATGATAGTGTGGGGGGGGGGGAGTTATCAGGCCGTCAAGTAATCGACGAGAAGTACTCACGCTGTTGACTAAGATGGGTGAGGAGGACGGGGAAGAAAGCGGGGTCATCAGAGAGGGTCAACAGGTCACCACCGATGGTCTGACAGATGCTTCTGGCTTCCACCCAGTTCAGCTGTAAGAGCAAGTTGCAATATTATTTTACAGTCAAACCAATGCCTAACCGGCTTAATAACAGGGGGGATATTAATAGGGTATTAAAAATATCAACACAAGACAGAACACGAAACAATGGGTATAAATTGGATAAGTTTAGATTTAGGAAAGACTTGGGTAAATACTGGTTCAGTAACAGGGTTGTTGATTTGTGGAACGAATTGCCGCGTAACGTGGTGGAGGTGGGGTCCCTTGATTGTTTCAAGCGCAGGTTGGACAAGTATATGAGTGGGATTGGGTGGTTATAGATAGGAGCTGCCTCGTATGGGCCAATAGGCCTTCTGCAGTTACCTTTGTTCTTATGTAATATTTCCCCACCTTACAATATTTGGTCTATACTGATGCTTCTAAGACTGTGTTTAATATACTCCTTGGACAAAATAAATGTTAAATGAAGTCAGTAGCGCTTAGTTTTGAAATCTGCTAATAAATATTGATATTTGCACTGGTGTAGAGGTGTACCAACATGGCCTCCAGACTTACCTCACTGGTGTAGAGGTGTACCAACATGGCCTCCAGACTTACCTCACTGGTGTAGAGGTGTACCAACATGGCCTCAATGACTTACCTCACTGGTGTAGAGGTGTACCAACATGGCCTCCAGACTTACCTCACTGGTGTAGAAGAGTACCAACATGGCCTCAATGACTTACCTCACTGGTGTAGAAGAGTACCAACATGGCCCCCAGACTTACCTCACTGGTGTACAAGAATACCAACATGGCCCCCAGACTTACGTCACTGGTGTACAAGAATACCAACATGGCCCCCAGACTTACGTCACTGGTGTACAAGAATACCAACATGGCCTCCAGACTTACGTCACTGGTGTAGAAGAGTACCAACATGGCCCCCAGACTTACGTCACTGGTGTAGAAGAGTACCAACATGGCCCCCAGACTTACGTCACTGGTGTAGAAGAGTACCAACATGGCCCCCAGACTTACGTCACTGGTGTACAAGAATACCAACATGGCCTCCAGACTTACGTCACTGGTGTACAAGAATACCAACATGGCCTCCAGACTTACCTCACTGGTGTACAAGAATACCAACATGGCCCCCAGACTTACGTCACTGGTGTACAAGAATACCAACATGGCCCCCAGACTTACGTCACTGGTGTACAAGAATACCAACATGGCCTCCAGACTTACCTCACTGGTGTAGAAGAGTACCAACATGGCCTCCAGACTTACCTCACTGGTGTAGAGGTGTACCAACATGGCCTCCAGACTTACGTCACTGGTGTAGAAGAGTACCAACATGGCCTCCAGACTTACGTCACTGGTGTAGAAGAGTACCAACATGGCCCCCAGACTTACCTCACTGGTGTAGAAGAGTACCAACATGGCCTCCAGACTTACGTCACTGGTGTAGAAGAGTACCAACATGGCCTCCAGACTTACGTCACTGGTGTAGAAGAGTACCAACATGGCCTCCAGACTTACGTCACTGGTGTAGAAGAGTACCAACATGGCCCCCAGACTTACGTCACTGGTGTAGAAGAGTACCAACATGGCCTCAATGACTTACCTCACTGGTGTAGAGGTGTACCAACATGGCCTCAATGACTTACCTCACTGGTGTAGAAGAGTACCAACATGGCCTCCAGACTTACGTCACTGGTGTAGAGGTGTACCAACATGGCCCCCATGACTTACCTCACTGGTGTAGAAGAGTACACAACGAGAAGTAACGAAGGAGGAGACCAGCAGTAAAGGGACCTCGTCTTGGAGAGTTGCGAAAGACAGGGGCCTTAAGAAGACTTTGATAAAGCCGCCTTCAAACGCCATAGCAACTTCAAATTCATTTGACGTTTTGGAGGACGAGTGCTGTGGAGAGACTGTGGATCGCGCAAAAGGGAAAGCAACGAAGAGAAAGGAAGCGCAGGCCCCTCAGAAAGTAAAGGAAGTACCTAAGCAAACATTAGTTGTGGGAGATTCCCAGATAAGGTATTTGGATAGAACGTTTTGTGCTAGAGATAGGGGGAACAGGTTCTGTTCACCCAGAAGTGAATGGCTATACATAAGAACATAAGAACATAAGAACAAAGGTAACTGCAGAAGGCCTATTGGCCCATACGAGGCAGCTCCTATTCTATAACCACCCAATCCCACTCATATACTTGTCCAACCCGTGCTTGAAACAATCGAGGGACCCCACCTCCACAATGTTACGCGGCAATTGGTTCCACAAATCAACAACCCTGTTACTGAACCAGTATTTACCCAAGTCTTTCCTAAATCTAAACTTATCCAATTTATATCCATTGTTTCGTGTTCTGTCCTGTGTTGATACTTTTAATACCCTATTAATATCCCCCCGGTTATGTCCATTCATCCACTTGTAAACCTCTATCATGTCACCCCTAACTCTTCGCCTTTCCAGTGAATGCAACTTAAGCTTTGTTAATCTTTCTTCATATGAAAGATTTCTAATTTGGGGAATTAACTTAGTCATCCTACGCTGGACACGTTCAAGTGAATTTATATCCATTCTATAATATGGCGACCAAAACTGAACTGCATAATCTAAATGGGGCCTAACTAGAGCAAGATATAGCTTGAGAACCACACCAGGTGTCTTGTTACTAACGCTGCGATTAATAAATCCAAGTGTCCGATTTGCCTTATTACGAACATTTATGCATTGATCCTTTTGTTTTAAATTCTTACTAATCATAACTCCCAGATCCCTTTCGCAATCCGACTTCGCAATCACAACACCATCTAGCTCGTATCTTGTAACTCTATCATCATTACCTAACCTCAGAACTTTACATTTATCAGCATTAAACTGCATCTGCCAATCCTTTGACCATTTCAAAACCCTATCTAGATCAACTTGAAGTGATAGTGAGTCCTCCTCCGAATTAATTTCCCTACCGATTTTCGTATCATCGGCAAATTTGCAAATGTTGCTACTCAAACCTGAATCTAAATCATTTATATATATTATAAACAACAGAGGTCCCAGGACAGAGCCTTGAGGCACTCCACTTACAACATTTTCCCACTCTGACTTGATTCCATTTATACTAACTCTCTGTTTCCTTTGGTATAGCCATGCCCTAATCCAGCTTAATATAGCACCCCCAATACCATGAGACTCTATTTTTTTAATCAGTCTTTCATGTGGCACTGTATCAAAAGCTTTGCTAAAGTCAAGGTATACAACATCGCAATCCTTACCACTATCAACTGCCTCAACAATGCTAGAATAAAAAGATAACAAATTTGTTAAACATGAACGGCCATTTATAAAACCATGTTGCGACTCAATTATTAATTTATGTTTTTCAAGATGAAGACGAATTTTATTTGCTATTATAGATTCGAGTAACTTTCCCACAATAGACGTTAGGCTAATTGGTCGATAGTTAGACGCAAGTGATCTATCTCCTTTCTTAAAAACTGGTATCACATTAGCAACTTTCCAAAACTCTGGCACTCTGCCTGACTCTATTGATTTATTAAATATGGTTGACAGTGGGTCACAAAGCTCCTCTTTGCATTCTTTAAGCACCCTAGCAAACACTTCATCCGGCCCTGGGGATTTGTTTGGTTTGAGTTTTACTATTTGTTTAAGAACATCCTCCCTGGTAACTGCTAAACTCGTCAACCTGTCCTCGTCCCCACCCACATAGACTTGTTCGGCTGAAGGCATATTGTTAAGTTCCTCTTTAGTAAATACAGATACAAAATATTTATTAAAAATACTACTCATCTCTTCATCACTATCTGTTATTTGACCTGTCTCAGTTTTTAATGGACCTATCCTTTCCCTAGTCTTAGTACGATATAACTGAAAAAACCCTTTAGGATTTGTCTTTGCTTGCCCTGCTATGCGAACTTCATAGTTTCTTTTTGCTTTCCTTATCTCTTTTTTAACATTTCTAACCAGTTGTACGAATTCCTGTTCTAAAGTGACCTCCCCATTTTTAATCCTTTTGTACCAAGCTCTCTTTTTACCTATAAGGTTCTTCAAATTCTTTGTTATCCACTTTGGGTCATTAGTATACGATCTATTCAATTTGTATGGTATACTACGTTCCTGTGCTTTGTTTAGAATATTCTTAAATAAGTTATATATTGAATCCACATCGAAATCCCCATTTAAGTCACCTATCGCTGGGTTCATGTCTCGCTCCAAGACCGGCCCACACCCCATACCCAAGCCTTTCCAATCAATTTGACCCAAAAAATTTCTTAGGCTATTAAAATCAGCTTTTCGAAAATCTGGCACTTTAACAGAATTTTCTCCTACTGGTCTATTCCATTCTATGCTAAATCTGATTTCTTTGTGATCACTGCTCCCTAGCTCACTCCCTATTTCGATGTCATTAATTTGCGTTTCCCTGTTAGTTAACACTAAATCTAAAATATTATTTTCCCGTGTTGGTTCCTTAATGTGTTGCGTAAGAAAGCAATCGTCAATTAATTCTAGAAAATCTTCTGCTTCACTATTCCCTGTTTTGTTCAACCAGTTTATTCCGCTAAAATTAAAGTCACCCATGACATAAATACTGTTAGATCTAGATGCTCTAGATATTTCATCCCATAGATGCTTTGCTTCCATTCTGTCTAAATTTGGTGGCCTATATATTACTCCTATTATAATATTATTAGCTTTTTCGTTTAATTCAATCCAAATAGTTTCTGTGTGTGGCTCTGTTTTGATTCCCTCTTTGAGACTACATTTCAAATTGTCCCTAACATATATGGCTACTCCACCTCCTCGTCTAATATATCTATCTGTGTGAAATAGTTTAAATCCATATATTTGATATTCAGCTAATAGTTCTCTATTTTCTACATTCATCCACGTTTCGGTAAGTGCAATAATATCTATTTTTTCTGTGCAGACAAGAGCATTTAATTCGTTAATTTTATTTCTTAGACTTCTACTGTTAGTGTAATATACCCTAAGTGAATTGTTATTTTGCGGACCTTCTCTTTCCCTGATCGTTTTGCCAATTCCTTTCTCCCACAAACACATACTTTTATTACCTCCTTCCTCCAAATCAATTCCCATACCTCTATCTACTAACAGTTTAAACCCAAACAAACACCTCTAACCACTTCTTCTAGCGAGTTCGCAACAGCAACAACCCCAGCTCTCGATAGATGCACCCCATCACGAGCATACATTTCATTTCTTCCATAGAAGTGTTCCCAGTTGTCTATGAAAGATATTGCATTTGATTTGCAATATCTTTCCAGCCGGCAATTGACACCAAGTGCCCTCGATATCCATTCATTTCCCACTCCCTTTCTTGGAAGAATGCCACATATGATCGGGATTCCTCCCTTGCTCCTAACTAACTCTATGGCTGTTTTATACCTCTGAATCAGTTCCTCACTCCTGACTCGACCAACATCATTTCCTCCCACGCTAATGCAAATAATGGGATTGTTCCCATTACCAGCCATAATATCATTCATGTTGTTTATAATATCACCAATGCCAGCTCCGGGATAGCAAACCCTTAACCTGTTCCCCCTATCTCTAGCACAAAACGTTCTATCCAAATACCTTATCTGGGAATCTCCCACAACTAATGTTTGCTTAGGTACTTCCTTTACTTTCTGAGGGGCCTGCGCTTCCTTTCTCTTCGTTGCTTTCCCTTTTGCGCGATCCACAGTCTCTCCACAGCACTCGTCCTCCAAAACGTCAAATGAATTTGAAGTTGCTATGGCGTTTGAAGGCGGCTTTATCAAAGTCTTCTTAAGGCCCCTGTCTTTCGCAACTCTCCAAGACGAGGTCCCTTTACTGCTGGTCTCCTCCTTCGTTACTTCTCGTTGTTTTTTAAGCTGACGCACCTCCTCCCGCAGAGAGTCCAACTCTGTCCTCAGGGCTCCCACTAGAGTCACCAGGTCCTTCACTACAACTTCCATATTGCTATGATAATATAACAACACTCAGGAGCTCCGGTTAACACAACCTCTCACTGTGACTTCACCTGACCGAAAATATGTGATGATACGAAAATCGGTAAGAGGAGGAGGACTCACTATAACTTCAAGTTTCTAGATAGGGTTTTGAAATGGTCGAAGGATTAACAGATGCAGTTTAATGTTAACTGTAAAGAGGTTAGGTGAATGGATAGGGTTACAAGATACGAGAGATTATCTTGAACGAGCAAATTATCTAGACGAGGGAGGAAGGAGGTAATAAAAGTATGTGTTTGTGGGAGAAAGGAATTGGCAAAACGATCAGGGAAAGAGAAGGTCCGCAAAATAACAATTCACTTTGGGTATATTACACTAACAGTAGAAGTCTAAGAAATAAAATTAACGAATTAAATGCTCTTGTCTGCACAGAAAAAATAGATATTATTGCACTTACCGAAACGTGGATGAATGTAGAAAATAGAGAACTATTAGCTGAATATCAAATATATGGATTTAAACTATTTCACACAGATAGATATATTAGACGAGGAGGTGGAGTAGCCATATATGTTAGGGACAATTTGAAATGTAGTCTCAAAGAGGGAATCAAAACAGAGCCACACACAGAAACTATTTGGATTGAATTAAACGAAAAAGCTAATAATATTATAATAGGAGTAATATATAGGCCACCAAATTTAGACAGAATGGAAGCAAAGCATCTATGGGATGAAATATCTAGAGCATCTAGATCTAACAGTATTTATGTCATGGGTGACTTTAATTTTAGCGGAATAAACTGGTTGAACAAAACAGGGAATAGTGAAGCAGAAGATTTTCTAGAATTAATTGACGATTGCTTTCTTACGCAACACATTAAGGAACCAACACGGGAAAATAATATTTTAGATTTAGTGTTAACTAACAGGGAAACGCAAATTAATGACATCGAAATAGGGAGTGAGCTAGGGAGCAGTGATCACAAAGAAATCAGATTTAGCATAGAATGGAATAGACCAGTAGGAGAAAATTCTGTTAAAGTGCCAGATTTTCGAAAAGCTGATTTTAATAGCCTAAGAAATTTTTTGGGTCAAATTGATTGGAAAGGCTTGGGTATGGGGTGTGGGCCGGTCTTGGAGCGAGACATGAACCCAGCGATAGGTGACTTAAATGGGGATTTCGATGTGGATTCAATATATAACTTATTTAAGAATATTCTAAACAAAGCACAGGAACGTAGTATACCATACAAATTGAATAGATCGAATACTAATGACCCAAAGTGGATAACAAAGAATTTGAAGAACCTTATAGGTAAAAAGAGAGCTTGGTACAAAAGGATTAAAAATGGGGAGGTCACTTTAGAACAGGAATTCGTACAACTGGTTAGAAATGTTAAAAAAGAGATAAGGAAAGCAAAAAGAAACTATGAAGTTCGCATAGCAGGGCAAGCAAAGACAAATCCTAAAGGGTTTTTTCAGTTATATCGTACTAAGACTAGGGAAAGGATAGGTCCATTAAAAACTGAGACAGGTCAAATAACAGATAGTGATGAAGAGATGAGTAGTATTTTTAATAAATATTTTGTATCTGTATTTACTAAAGAGGAACTTAACAATATGCCTTCAGCCGAACAAGTCTATGTGGGTGGGGACGAGGACAGGTTGACGAGTTTAGCAGTTACCAGGGAGGATGTTCTTAAACAAATAGTAAAACTCAAACCAAACAAATCCCCAGGGCCGGATGAAGTGTTTGCCAGGGTGCTTAAAGAATGCAAAGAGGAGCTTTGTGACCCACTGTCAACCATATTTAATAAATCAATAGAGTCAGGCAGAGTGCCAGAGTTTTGGAAAGTTGCTAATGTGATACCAGTTTTTAAGAAAGGAGATAGATCACTTGCGTCTAACTATCGACCAATTAGCCTAACGTCTATTGTGGGAAAGTTACTCGAATCTATAATAGCAAATAAAATTCGTCTTCATCTTGAAAAACATAAATTAATAATTGAGTCGCAACATGGTTTTATAAATGGCCGTTCATGTTTAACAAATTTGTTATCTTTTTATTCTAGCATTGTTGAGGCAGTTGATAGTGGTAAGGATTGCGATGTTGTATACCTTGACTTTAGCAAAGCTTTTGATACAGTGCCACATGAAAGACTGATTAAAAAGATAGAGTCTCATGGTATTGGGGGTGCTATATTAAGCTGGATTAGGGCATGGCTATACCAAAGGAAACAGAGAGTTAGTATAAATGGAATCAAGTCAGAGTGGGAAAATGTTGTAAGTGGAGTGCCTCAAGGCTCTGTCCTGGGACCTCTGTTGTTTATAATATATATAAATGATTTAGATTCAGGTTTGAGTAGCAACATTTGCAAATTTGCCGATGATACGAAAATCGGTAGGGAAATTAATTCGGAGGAGGACTCACTATCACTTCAAGTTGATCTAGATAGGGTTTTGAAATGGTCAAAGGATTGGCAGATGCAGTTTAATGCTGATAAATGTAAAGTTCTGAGGTTAGGTAATGATGATAGAGTTACAAGATACGAGCTAGATGGTGTTGTGATTGCGAAGTCGGATTGCGAAAGGGATCTGGGAGTTATGATTAGTAAGAATTTAAAACAAAAGGATCAATGCATAAATGTTCGTAATAAGGCAAATCGGACACTTGGATTTATTAATCGCAGCGTTAGTAACAAGACACCTGGTGTGGTTCTCAAGCTATATCTTGCTCTAGTTAGGCCCCATTTAGATTATGCAGTTCAGTTTTGGTCGCCATATTATAGAATGGATATAAATTCACTTGAACGTGTCCAGCGTAGGATGACTAAGTTAATTCCCCAAATTAGAAATCTTTCATATGAAGAAAGATTAACAAAGCTTAAGTTGCATTCACTGGAAAGGCGAAGAGTTAGGGGTGACATGATAGAGGTTTACAAGTGGATGAATGGACATAACCGGGGGGATATTAATAGGGTATTAAAAGTATCAACACAGGACAGAACACGAAACAATGGGTATAAATTGGATAAGTTTAGATTTAGGAAAGACTTGGGTAAATACTGGTTCAGTAACAGGGTTGTTGATTTGTGGAACCAATTGCCGCGTAACATTGTGGAGGTGGGGTCCCTCGATTGTTTCAAGCACGGGTTGGACAAGTATATGAGTGGGATTGGGTGGTTATAGAATAGGAGCTGCCTCGTATGGGCCAATAGGCCTTCTGCAGTTACCTTTGTTCTTATGTTCTACCTCACTGGTGTAGAGGTGTACCAACATGGCCCCCAGACTTACCTCACTGGTGTAGAGGTGTACCAACATGGCCTCCAGACTTACCTCACTGGTGTAGAGGTGTACCAACATGGCCTCAATGACTTACCTCACTGGTGTAGAGGTGTACCAACATGGCCCCCAGACTTACGTCACTGGTGTAGAGGTGTACCAACATGGCCAACATGGCCAGACTTACGTCACTGGTGTAGAGGTGTACCAACATGAGACTTACCACTGGTGTACAAGAATACCAACATGGCCTCCAGACTTACGTCACTGGTGTAGAAGAGTACCAACATGGCCTCCAGACTTACGTCACTGGTGAAGAGTACCAACATGGCCCCCAGAGTCACTGGTGTACCAACATGGCCCCCAGACTTACGTCACTGGTGTAGAAGAGTACCAACATGGCCCCCAGACTTACGCTGCTGACGAAGAAGATGGAGAGGCAGTACTGGCCGACCTTGGTGTAGAGCTGGGGGCAGAGCGGGTGTCGCATCGTATTATCCAGCTGCACCATGAACTGTTTCTCAAACAGTCCCTCCCTCATGGCGCGCGAGGCCACCTCATTCCAGCGCAACTCATTAAGTAGAGCACCCGCATGTGTGAAGTTCATTGGGCCTAGCGGACTGGTGGCGAGGTCGTCGCCACCTCTGAGGTATGTGGAGGCCTCGCTCGGTGTTGACCCTGAAACAATATCATTTTTCCCAGGTCTTCCTTCACTTTTTGGTTAATACTGTAGATAAACAAATCCACAAGGGCCGTGACGAGGGTTCGAACCTACGTCCGAGAGCATCCCAGACGCAGCCATAATCGACTGAGCTACGACATGGTTAAAAGAATTGCACCCAGAAGTTCTACTGACCTTACCTGGACCCTGCAGCCTCTCAGAGACACAAACCAGGATTTTTTGTATTTGTTCATTTGATGCATCACGCTATTGTGATTTTTGTGTGTACTGAAGATATTGTAGACTCCAAGCGGTCCTGTGGGAGGTCACCACCAGGGGCGCGGAACGACTGCGTCCGCTCACCCTCCGTGCTGGGATACGACTGATAGTGCGTCGACCCCTGTGATTGGTTGGCACATGAGTACTGGCCAATCAGAGCCCGCTGTGATGCTAATTACCCGGGAATCATGTAAAGAGGCCATCCGTCCTGGCTCGTTATATATAGTCATTGTTTAAGTTGAGTTTACCTTCCCGTCCAGTATTGTGTTAGGCCTAAAGTGTACTGGCTGGTTGGTCAGTGAGGCTTAACCACCCATCCTCCAGAAAATGTAGTACCTACCTATAATTATACTATATAGTGGACGGTACGTACAAAATATGCACTGTTAATTGTCCCCTCCCCCCCCCCATCCATCCAAACAAAAAAATCACGTTCTCTATGGTTGGAATTCTAAAGAAAACAAAGAAATGAAACAGTAGCCATAAATTAACTAGTCTCGTCGAATGGGCCTGAATACGCAATTATAGACCTAATTAGTAAATTTTTACTCGAATTTACCTGAGGGGGGACAGGAAGCCGGCAGCAGTATTATATGCTAGCCAGGTCTAGGGGAAGTTTGGTTAAGTTGTTATCTTCTGTTATCTTATCCCCTCGAGTCCTAAATACAATTTGAACGATTTTTTTTAACATTTCACAAATGTTAATATTTTGTACCTCTATCCACAGTAACTATGGTTACAGTGACCTATTGTGGGGGTCCTTAACAATCCTCCAGAGGTTGATGGTACCATGATACCAACCATGGTTGATGGTCTTAATACCAACCATAACCTGACACGCATCCTTAAGGGGTCACACAACTTGTAGAGTTTGGTCAATCCACCTAATATGTTCCAAAAAACATGTAATTAGGGCACCTCTACCTCTCACGGGATAGTTATGGGGCCCATTACCTCTCACAGGATGGGTATGGGGCACTCTACCTCTCACAGGATGGGTATGGGGCACTCTACCTCTCACATAATGGGGCATGGAGCCCTCTACCTCTCACAGGATGGGTATGGGACCCTCTACCTCTCACAGGAATGGGTATGGGGCCCTTTACCTATCACACGATGGGTATGGGGCCCTTTACCTATCACACGATGGGTATGGGATAATCTACCTCTCACAGAATGGGTACAGGGTCCTCTACCTTCTCATAGGATGGGTATGGGGCCCTCTACTTTTCACAGGATGGGTATGAGACCTTTTACCTCTCATAGGATGGGTATGGGGCCTTCTACTTCTCACAGGATAGGTACGAGACCCTCTACTTCTCGTAGGATTGGTATGGGGCCCTCTACCTCTCACAATATGGGTATGGGATCCTCTACATCTTACAGGAATGGGTATAAGGCCCTTTACCTATTACAAGATGGGAATGGGGCTCCTCTGCCTCTCGCAGGATGGGTATGGGGCCCTCTACCTCTCACAGGAATGGGCATGGAGTCCTCTATCTCTCACAGGATGGGTATGAGGCCTCTTTTCCTCTCACAGGATGGGTAATAGGCCCTCTACATCTCACAGGATGGAGCCCTGTACATCTCACAGGATGGGCAATGGACCCTCTACATCTCACAGGATGGGTATGGAGCCCTCTACATCTCACAGGATGGGTATGGAGCCCTCTACATCTCACAGGATGGGTATGGAGCCCTCTACATCTCACAGGATGGGTATGGAGCCCTCTACATCTCACAGGATGGGTATGGAGGCCTCTACATCTCACAGGATGGGTATGGAGCCCTCTACATCTCACAGGATGGGTATGGGGCACTCTACATCTCACAGGATGGGAATGGACCCTCTACATCTCACAGGATGGGCAATGGACCCTCTACATCTCACAGGATGGGCAATGGACCCTCTACATCTCACAGGATGGGCAATGGACCCTCTACCTCTCACAGGATGGGCATGAGGTGAAAGGAAACGTGCCTAACCATTTCTGTCCCTGCTCGGGAATCGAACCCGGGATCCCCGATTGTGTCATGAATAGTAGAAAAAAAAAACAAAAAAAGGGGTGGGGGGTGGGGAGGGGTGGGGGTGGGGAGGGGTGGGGGAGAATTTATCACATGGGGAAGGAGATTGGGGGATGGGGGGGATGGGGGGTGGGGGGGTAGTACTCACGCAGCGAGAGGCAACACAGCAGCAACAGCAGGAAACTCTCCAGCACAGCAACACAGCCCATGATGGCTCAGGATTGGCAACACTCGCGGTAATCTGTGAAATAAGTTTAACACACTCACTTGATGCCTCGGTCCACACACACACACACACACACACACACACACACACACACACACACACACACACACACACAAGGGAGAATTGTCCAGTTGCTGGAAGAAGGCAAATGTCGTGCCGATCTTCAAGAAAGGAGATAGGGAGGAGGCACTTAACTATAGACCTGTATCACTGACAAGCATCCCCTGTAAAATACCGGAAAGAATAATTAGGCTACGACTGGTTGCACACCTGGAGAACATTAGGTTTGTGAACAAACATCAACATGGGTTCTGGACAGGGAAATCGTGCCTAACAAACCTTCTGGAATTCTATGATAAATTAACGAGGATAAGACAGGACGGAGATGGTTGGGCAGACTGCATATTTCTGGACTGCCAAAAAGCCTTTGATACAGTACCGCACATGAGACTGCTGTTCAAGCTCGAGAGGCAGGCGGGGGTGGGGGGAAAGGTCCTAGCATGGATAAGGAACTACCTAACAGGAAGGAGCCAAAGAGTTACGGTAAGGGGCGAGAAGTCGGACTGGCGAACAGTAACAAGTGGAGTACCACAAGGATCGGTGCTGGGACCAATTCTATTTCTTGTATATGTTAACGACATGTTTACAAGCGTAGAGTCCTACATGTCGATATTTGCGGATGACGCAAAGTTGATGAGAAGAGTTGTGACAGATGAGGATTGCAGGATCCTCCAAGAGGACCTGAACAGGTTGCAGAGATGGTCAGAGAAATGGCTACTGGAATTCAACACGAGCAAATGTAAAGTTATGGAAATGGGACTAGGAGATAGGAGACCAAAGGGACAGTACACAATGAAGGGGAACAGCCTACCCGTGACGACGCGCGAAAGAGACCTGGGGGTGGACGTAACACCTAATCTATCTCCTGAGGCACATATAAATAGGATAACGACAGCAGCGTACTCTACACTGGCAAAAGTTAGAACATCATTCAGAAACCTAAGTAAGGAGGCATTTAGGGCTCTTTACACTGCCAACGTGAGGCCAGTCTTAGAGTATGCTGCCTCATCATGGAGTCCCCATCTGAAGAAGCATATAATGAAACTGGAAAAGGTTCAGAGGTTTGCAACGAGACTCGTCCCAGAGCTACGAGGGATGGGGTATGAGGAGCGCCTGAGGGAACTGTGCCTTACGACACTAGAAAGAAGAAGGGAGAGGGGGGACATGATAGGAACGTATAAAATACTCAGAGGGATTGACAGAGTGGACATAGACGAAATGTTCACACGGAATAGTAACAGAACGAGGGGACATGGATGGAAGCTTGAAACTCAGATGAGTCACAGAGATGTTAGGAAGTTTTCTTTTAGCGTGAGAGTAGTGGGAAAATGGAATGCACTTCAGGAACAGGTTGTGGAAGCAAATACTATTCATAATTTTAAAACTAGGTATGATAGGGAAATGGGACAGGAATCATTGCTGTAAACAACCGATGCTCGAAAGGCGGGATCCAAGAGTCAATGCTCGATCCTGCAGACACAACTAGGCGAGTACAACTAGGTGAGTACACACCTAGAGTGTGAGTGTGTGTGTGTGTGTGTGTGTGTGTGTGTGTGTGTGTGTGTGTGTGTGAAAAAAATAGTAGTAGTAGTAGAAACAGTTAATTGGCATTTAAGAGGTGGGTCGAAAGAGCAGAGCTCAAGCACAACTAGGTGAATTCATACACAGACGCATACCCACATACACAGACGCACACCCACATACACAGACGCACACCCACATACACAGACGCACACCCACATACACAGACGCACACCCACATACACAGACGCACACCCACATACACAGACGCACACCCACATACACAGACGCACACCCACATACACAGACGCACACCCACATACACAGACGCACACCCACATACACAGACGCACACCCACATACACAGACGCACACCCACATACACAGACGCACACCCACATACACAGACGCACACCCACATACACAGACGCACACCCACATACACAGACGCACACCCACATACACAGACGCACACACATACAGAAGGAACCGACTCATTCCTCTCAAAGTTCATGATGAAGTAAAAGTTATGAGGAGGATTCAGGCAGAGGAGGACAACAAGCGGCCACAAGATGACTGAGACAAACTGAAAGAATGATTCAATAAATGGCTTCTAGATTTTAACCCAAATAAATGTAAGATAATAATAAGTGTAGGGGAGCAGGAGTCCGGATTCAAGTTACCAAATGCGAGTGATATCCTTGAAGAAACTGACAGGAAGATCTGGGGATTGATATCTCACGGAACATGTCTCATAAAGCCCACATCAAAGAGATATCTTCAGCAGGAAAGGCTTGTTTGACCAACATAACTGCTTTTTAGAAATTTGGATAACGAATCATTCGAATCCAGTATACCACATACGTTAGACCAATCCTGGAGCATGCAGCTCCAGCGTGGAGTCCATATCTAGTCAAGCACAAGGCAAAGTTAGGGAAAGTTAAGAGGTGAGCCACCAGACCAGTCCCGGAGCTGAGAGGTATGAATTACGAGGAAAGGCTTTTGGAATTAAACCTCGTTAGTGGAAGACAAGAAGAGTTACAGGAGACATGATTACCACATACCTAAATCCTTGAGGAATTGAAAGGGTAGTTAAGGTCAGACTATTTAGAACGTGGGGTACATGAACAAGGGGATACAGGTGGAAATTTAGTACCCAAATGGAATGCACTAAGAAGTGATGTGGTGGAGGCTGACTCTGTACACAGTTTCTAATGTAGATATGATAGAACCGAACAGGTTGGGGAACCTGCACACCGGTTAATTGACAGCTGAGAAGCGAAACCAAAGCTCAGTCACAATTAGATGTGTATAAACACACATTCTCCTAATCACATACACAGCTCAACCCCCGTGAGGTTCCCCCCCTCAACCCCTAGGCCTACCTAGCTTTGGCGGGACCAAAGAGCCAGAGCTCAACCCCCGCAAGCACAATTAGGTGAGTACACACACACACACACATACACACACACACACACACACGTACGCACGCACGCACATCTCACCGTCTAACCTTCGCGACAGACGGCGGGGCACTGACTCCACCACACAACGTTTTCCCAATATAAGACCCTCCAACCCCAGGCCAGGGGGACCAGGTCAGGCCAGGGGGGGCCCTGGATACCGCGTCTGCCCCTGCCCTGGTTACAGGGTCGCGCACCCAACACTAGTATACCTCTCGGTACACAGGCAACGCCCCCTGTTACAGTCCGTCCTTATCAACAATGGTTAAATGGTCGTTAAGCACGGTACACACACCACTACCAACTTATATCCGAACTTCTCTTGTACATGACTTCGAACTCTTCCCGTGTTCGATTTTCCCCACTAAACGCTTCACCTACGTGCTCACAATTAATTTAATGCAGACAATGAACAGCTAAAACACCTAAGCCTAGCCTAGCTATGCAAATTTATTTTATTACACACATATATATATATATATATATATATATATATATATATATATATATATATATATACATATATATGTAAATGTTCGTTTATTCAAAATCGTTAATCTCCGACAGTTCTTCACCGATTGGTTTGAACTTTTCACTCAACGTTCCACTCGCATCCGAGCGGGATTTTATATACATAATATATAGATGTCACGTCTGTGAAGGGGAAAAAAACCAGTTTTTCTGAAAAACTGTGTTTTTCAGGTGTTTTTCATGTGAGGGAAATCTTCGAAACCTCTTTATCGATGGCTTTGAAATTTTGACACAACGTTGCATTCGAATAGGCGCATGTTTTTTTTATTTATTTTTTTATATTTTTACAGTTAATATATACATGCCTCACCTGTGACAGGAAAAAAATGTTTTTTTTTTTTTAAACAGCGCCATCTGTTGGACGTAAGAGCAACACACGCATTAATCTATAAAAATTCTTCACCAATTTCTTTGAAATTTTGACACAACGTTCCATTCGAATATGTGCTTGTTTTATATACCTTCTATATAGATGCCACACCTGTGACAGGTAAAATCATGCTTTTCTTGAGAAACATCGCCATCTGTTGCATGTAATAACAACACACGCTACTAAACATGTTACATTTCCATTCCAATGTTTCCGATTGCACAAATTGAATTTTCATAGATTTCGATTTATTTTCATTTTGATTTAACTATTTTGTGTGACATTGTGTTGGAATTGAGCTGTGTTGTTTACCATACCGTTCATTTTCTGAGTACAGTTTATTTTTTTAGTTTTCATTGTTTTTAGTTTTTTTAACTGTTTTTCTTATATTGCAGTGATGGGAACATCAGATCATTTGATGTTCCCAATTTTATGATGGAAACATCAGATCAGTTGGGAAGGCATCGGACAAAGGAGTGGGGAATTTGGGGAGGACGAGGGGACAGGGGAGGGTGGGTATAGGTGGGGAGGACTAGGGTATGGGGGAGTTGGGGATGGTGGGGACGAGGGACTGGGGAATGGAGAATGATGGATAGGACAAGGGGACAGGGAAGTGGGATATGGTGTGGAGAACGAGGGGATGGTGGAGTGGGGAATGATGGGGAGGACTGGGAGACAGGGAAAGGTTGCTGTGGCCGGGTACAGCTAGTATATTATATATATATATTATATATATATATATATTATATATATATATATATATATATTTATATATATATATATATATATATATATATATATATATATATATATATATATATATATATATATATATATATATATATATATATATATATATATATATATATATATATATATATATATATATATATATATATATGACAATGTCAGACCACGGAGGAAAAATGAAACAGGAAATTTCCTTAAGTACTTTCGTATATTAAATACATCTTCAGAAGGTGAAGCACCTTCTGAAGATGTATTTAATATACGAAAGTACTTAAGGAAATTTCCTGTTTCATTTTTCCTCCGTGGTCTGACATTGTCAC